CCTCCGAGGTTTGGGCCAGCCACAACCTCCTAGGCAGCCTGTGCCAGTGCCTCACCACCCTCCCAGGGAAGAATTCCTTCCCAATGTCCCATCTAGCCCTGCCCTCTGGCAGTGGGAAGCCATTCTCCCCTGTCCTGTCTCTGCGGACCCTTGTCCCGAGTCCCTCTCAGCTCTCTTGGAGCCCCTTTAGGCACTGAAAGGGGCTTTAAGGTCTCCCTGGAACCTTCTGTTCTCCAGGTGAACACCCCCATCTCTCCCAGTCTGTCCCAGAGCAGATATCTTCCAGCCTTTGGAGCATCTCCATGGCCTCCTCTGGACTTGTTCCAGCAGCTCTAAGACTTTCCTGTGTTGGTGCCCCGGAACTGGAGGGAGCACTGCAGGTGGGTCTCACCTGAGCAGAGCAGAGTTGGCACAATCCCCCTCACCTGCTGCCCATGCCTTGGGGATCAGCCCAGGTCACAGTTGTTTTCTGGGTGCCAGTGCCCATGGCTGAGCATGTCCAGCCTCTCACCCACCAGCACCCACATCCTCCCAGTGCTGTTCTCCATCCCTTCATCTCCAGCTTGGGTTGATCCCAGGGCTGCCCCAGCACTTAGCCTTGTTGAACCTCATGAGGTTTCCATGGGCCACAGCTCGAGCTTGTCCAGGTCCCTCTGGCTGCCATCCTCTCCCTCAGGCGTAGAGCAAGAAGCAGAAGCACGTGGAATGCAAGGGAGTTGCTGCAGGTCACCCAGGAGCTCCGTGTGAAGGCCAAGAGCTGTTTGTCCCTCACTGATGCTATCTGGTTCCCTCCTCAGACCCCCACGGATCCAGCACAGAGGAGGATCCGGGAGCTTTCCATGCTGAGTCAGCAGCTGCAGCAGGTTCACCCCAACGTCCTGGCCAAGGTGCTCAAGAAGGAAACAGTGTACCAGAACGAGGAGATCGTGGTGATTAACAAGCCCTATGGCCTTCCCGTGCATGGTGAGGGAGAGTCTGAGAGGGGACAGTGACACAGCCCCGTGGTATGGGAGAGGATCCTCCGTGTCTGTCGCCCTGTGCTGGGGGTGTCCTTCCCAGGGAGGGCTGTGAGGAGTTGGTCACTGCCAAATCAGAGCCTTCACCTCACGTTCAGGGGGGTTTTGAGGTCTGAGGGAAGGTGAGTAGCCCCATGACCACCCTGTCTGTGGGTCTGCAGGTGGCCCTGGCGTCAAGAACTGCATCACAGATGTGCTGCCCATCTTGGCCAAGATGCTGGAGAACATGAGAGCTGAGCCCCTGCACCTCTGCCACCGGCTGGACAAGGACACCACAGGTGTGATGGTGCTGGCACGGAGCAAGGAGGCAGCAGACAGGATCCGACTGCTCTTCAAAACCCGCCAGGTGGAGAAGACGTACTGGTAGGAAAGGTTTGGGTGGAGAAGGGGCTGTGAGGGGGCGAAGGGACAATCCCCAGGGCGTGAGGGCTGTGTGGTAGTGGAGGGTGTTGCTTATTGTTACAACCTGCCCCAAAGGCAGTAACTGAGGTTCTTGTTAAAGATCCCTTGGGGAGGATTGGAGTGAAACAACACTGAATCGCTGGCGCTTCTATATATATATCTATGACAGGTTTATTTTAGAGCAGTTTGATTGCAATGGAAAGGAGGTGTGTAGCCGTTTTGCTTATTATCTATAGAAATATAGCAATGTAAAAGTATAAAAATAACACTGAAGAGAGTGTTAGAGGGAAAGAAAGCGAAAGAGAGGACAAGAGTAGATAGTGGAAAGATATCACACTCTGTGAATCCAGTGATGGATGAGACTTGATGGTTGCACTTTAGATGTGCCTTGGTTGAGATGGTGGTCACAGCCTTGATCTGCTGGGGGTGGGAACAGCCCACACAACATAAAGTCAATAGGTTAACATTACATATTATTAATAGGTTAATAATGTGTGTTCAGGTTCAGGTGTGTTTTACACCCAAGCCAGTTGTGTAAGGGAGGACATTGGCATGATCAAAAGCATTATCCCCCCTGACAGGATCTGCTTCTTACTGGTCCTTTCCCTTATCCAGCTCAAAACCAGCGTATTGCTAAACAAAGTTCAGTTTGTTGACTTCCTCCAGTGGTGACTGTGCACCCTCTCTGCTCCTGGGCTGTTCTTGTGCAGAACAGAAGTTTCTCCACCACACACCCAAAACTTCTCTTCCCCATCAGCAAAGCACCTGCTGCTTTGTCAAACAGTGATTGTTTGAGTCATTAACCTCTAACATTTCAGTCTCTGACACTTACCTCCCCTCATGCACCTTTTTACGGGGCTGGGGGACGTGCTGAGGGGAGGGTTGCCTTCCTACAGGAGCAACACCCACAGACCTCTGCTTTCCCTGGGCAGGGCAATAGTCCTGGGGGACCCAGACCCTGCTGAGGGCATCGTGGACATCCCCATCGTGGAGAAAGAGGTGCAGAGCCACCAGTCACACTACAAGGTGAGCCACGTGTCCCCTTGGCTGCCACTTCAGCCCAGCACCCCTGGCACTCCTCCTGCATCATCCTCTTTGCACCCTCCAGATGACGCTGGCTCCCAACTACCGCCTGTGTCCGGAGGACGGGAAGGTGGTGAGGACCCGCAGGAACCGGAGCGCGGAGAGTGCGGTGACACGGTACCGTCGGCTGGGCAGCGCCTCCGCCTGCTCCCTGCTGGAGCTCCAGCCCATCACCGGTGAGCCCTGTCCGGGGGTCTCAGGGCTGTGGCACTGCTGGATCTTCTCCTGTGTGGCCAGGAGCAGAGCTGGGAGTGGGAGCTCGTTGTTAGACACGGCTGGAATAAGAGGAATAAACCCCCCCGGTCGAAGGTTTGCTGCCGAGCTGTTCTCCAGCTGCCAGCGTTCTCGACATGGCGTTATCTGGCACTGAGCGTGGTGGGAGGGAGCCAAGGCCTGGCACAGATGGGTATCACCTACCTCTTCTTTCCCTTTACTCCTCAGGGGTGAAGCACCAGATCCGGGTTCACCTGGCCTATGGCGTGGGGTGCCCCATCCTGGGAGATCACAAATACTCACACTGGAGCAAGCTGGCACCCCAGGTAAGGCAGATCCTGTGCTGGGGGCAGCCAGAGACAGATCCAGCCCCTTGTGTCCCCCAGCACCCCGTGGGCAGGGTTGTTCAGGTTCCAGCTGCTGGAGAGCTGACGTTGTTGAAGGGACATTTTCCATCCTTCCTGCAGAAGCTTCCTGAGCTCACCCTGAGGAGGCTGAAGCTGGAGCAGAGCAAGGCTCGGCACCTGCCTCTCCACCTGCACGCCTACCGGCTCTCCCTACCCCTGGGCCAGCGCATAGACCTTGTCTGCAAACCACCTCTCTTCTTCCAAAAATCCCTGAGGAGGCTGGAGCTGGACATCGCTCAAGACTGATGAGGCAGGGCCAGAGTGGTACCAGGTCTCTCCACAGCTCTGGCACGTGTGGCAGTGGCTGTGCCCGCCCTGGAGCTGGCGGTGAAGTGCAGCCTGTGATCTCTGTGCTAGTATTGGTGCTCTGGATTCAGAGCAGGTACCTGCTTGTTCTTCTGGCTCAGGAAAGCAGCTGGACACAGTGAAAGAGCCTCTTGTTAGGACAAACGGGGCTGGGTAGAAGCTGAGTTTTGCCTGATTGTGGTTTGAATCTGTCTCCGAGCAATAAAAGCTCCAGTTCCCTCGAGGGGATGGCTGTGTGTCTCTGTGCTCTGTCCAGGTGGGATTTGGTCTGTGGGCAGGTTTGAGCACACCCAGGTGCAGCTCCTCCCAGATTGCACGCTGTCACTCATCCCTCCAGAGCTGTGTAGCTCAAATTTGGAGAGTCCCTTCACCGGAAAATCCATCGAAAGCACAACTTGGCACCAGCTATGGAGTTTTCTCGCTGTGCTGAGAGACTGTGCAGGGAGTTCTTCGGCTTGGCTGGGCCGAGCAGCTCCAGGGCTCCTCCTGCTCTGTGCTGCCAGCAGCGTTGGCACAGGCTCCTGGGTACTGACTGCGCTGCCAGGAGAAACCATTCTGTCCCACCACCCCTTCCAGTTACCCCATCCCTCATTTCTAGGTCCCATTATTGGGATCCCTTACCCTTGGGAGCTTTCCTTGGAGCCAGATTAGTCCTGCCACGTGCCAAGAGGGAGGGGAGGGGAGGGGAGGTCTGGGGAACCACAGTTGATGTTCTGCCTCAAAATCACAGCGTTTGGTGTCTCCTGGCCTGTTTGAGGAGCTTGGGGCAGGGCAGCAGGATGTTCTCCATTCCCTATGGCTGGTTTGCACACTGGAAAAGGCTCTTTGTACCCCACGGGGCCACGATGTACCTGGCTGGGGGGTAGTGCCCTCTCCCTTGCCTCCCTGCTGGAAATAGCCAGGGAACCCCACACGCTCAGGCCGCGGCGCCAGGA